TGCATCCGCTTGCTCTTATCGACGATGTCATTCAATGTCTCCACTCGACGTCCTTTTTTTAATCTGTGGACCTGCGATCGGGCTACTGGCAGACAACAAGGCTTTCCACTGATAAAAAGATGTCAGCATTTATGACACCAGATGGTTTGTTTGAATTCAATGTTATGCCAATCGGTTTCTACAGCGCGTCCGCAACGCTCGAAAGAATCATGATCATGGTTCTGCGTGGCCTAAAATGGGATATTTGTTTATGCTATCTTGTTGACGTCGCAATTTTCGGTGGCATATTTAAATCATACAATCAGCGACTTGACGTCATTTGAAAAAAATTATTTGAGCGCAAACACCAACACATTCACGCACACACACACCCAGGCATGAAACACCTAAGCATCATCAAACAATAGCCATCATCAAACAATAGTTGGGTCATTGTTTGTGTAGACCACCAGACGTGTTATGTGGAGACTGCCACAAAGCCAACCACCACGGCAATCGATGTTTCGAGCTTACTTCTGTCGGCAGTCGTACTTCATCATGAACCACCTCGCATTATTGTGAATGATTGCGAATCCCTGTTCATTGCCATCCGTGGTCGAAGAGCTGTTGCGTCTCCGTGATTATCCATTTCGCCATGCAAGCCCCTCCCTATCTTCTGCAGACAAATGGTCTCGACGAGCCCACTACTCTAAGTTTTATGTACGTATATTGAAGGCACAAGAATTGGGATGACATCCTCCCCTTTAATACGTATGCCTACAGCTCAGCGAGGCATGAAGCCACTGGCTACAGCCTTTTCTACCTTAATACGCTCAACCGCCCCAATTCTTCACTGACACCAATCTTCTATTTCATACTCATGCGGACCTTTATTATTGCCCAGACATTTTGCCGCGCAAAGGAATCACTGTTTGTAAGTCGACTTCGTACGTTTGCATCCCAGGACTGTTCCAAGATCACCTACGATTCACGGCACGAAAACGTGTTTTATGACAAAGGTGACAAAGTTTGGCTCTAGCCACCATTTCGCAAGCGTGGCCTCTGTGAAAAGTTTCTGGCCCGTTACACCGGCTCCTTCGTGATGTTCGATTGCCTTATTGACCTGACATAATCGATACAGCTTGTCTCCTCAATCACGGCTACCATTCTCGGCAGATGCAACTTATTCCCGTCGTGCTCCTAATGCGCTGTCAACCACGTGACTTCGCGTTCACGTAGCCGTTACTCGCACGGTGGGCTTCGTCTATGAAGGGAGGAGTGCTACGCTAACACGACAGGGAAAACGAAAAAGAGGGGTTCGAAGAACGCTTGTCTTGCAAATGAATTGGTACCGGACGTCAACCATTCAGCTCCTTTCCATCAGCCCATCTTCAAATAAATATCTTTCATCGTAACACTATTGTCACCAATCACCATGCCCTAAGCTGGCTATTTTCGCTAAAAGTTCCCAATGGTCGGTTGACCTACACGGAATTCCGTCTGCAAGAATTCAGCATTCATGTTGTGTACCGATCTGATCGCAAGCATTTTGATGTGGATGCCCTTTCCTGCTCACCTTTGCTTGCTGAGCATATCAGTTTGTCTATTTCCGTGGGCGGTGGCCTTGCCATCAACATTTACGAAATGCCTTTCGAGCAACGTAAAGATCGCCGCATCACTTCGCTTCTAGACTTCATCCTCAACAAGACGCCTTCTCCTGTCTCTCGAACGCTTCGGCGCCAATCCCAACACTTGGCCGTTCGATATAACCTGCTCTACCACCACAGCTACAACTTCATTGGCCGAAAGGGGCTGCTTGTTATCCCCCGGCAACTCCACTCCAACACCCACACCACGGTTCACGATTATCCACAATGCGGTCACGCTGGTGTCTTAAAGAAATACACCCGCCGGCACCTTCGTATTACACACCCTCGGCGTACACGCTCTCGTTTGAGAACAATCAATTGACGCCCTTCAGAAAGTTGTCTGGAGAAGGGTATGGGGCACATGGAGCTATGTCAAACAAATATTTCACATATTGCTGCAAAGTCGTAATGTGATCGGATATTTGAAACGATGGTATTAATTTTAAAGGTTGACGCTTGACACTATGAGAGTCTCTTGAAATGGTCATGCAATCCCAAAATACGCACACTCAGCACAATCAGGAAGCCGTCTTGAATGCCGCTTTACGAAACCTTGATGTTACCATTGCGATCACTCCGATGATGTTACTGTAACTGAAGTATCGAAATAAATGTTTGAAGGGTGCTCGTTACATGCCCTAGATATTTATCGCCATGCTTGCTTCATGTAGCTCAAGCACCGCTCTTAAGGAGGACATCTGTATGCCGCAAAGTTGCCATATGTTTATTTATTTCTTCTTTGTACGCCTCGTTGAATGGGACGAGTGGGTCTAAAGAGTGAAAAGCGCAAGTTGTTCCCATCTTATTAAAGGTGGTTGGATCTATATGCGTTTTGGCTGAATCGGTCACACGTTTCAGTGTTCGAACTGTGTTAGGCTGTTGGTAGGCTTCCCGGATCGTACTCACGACTCCAACTAAGAAAGCGATTAGTGTATTGGCAAGCCCGTGTTTGTGCATTGTAAACCAAGGATTTATGCCAGTAAACGCAGGCAGTGTTAAAGGTATTCTTGAAAACATGTATTCCTGGTGCTATGTTGAGCTTGCAGGAAATTGGAGATGAACTGCTATTTTCACTTGTAGTTGGAAAATATTCTTTATCACGAGATTTATTTCTCTTGGTGAAGGTGGCCCTCCTACCAGCTTCCAGATTTTTTTGTTCCATGGGACCCTGACCTTACTGATATGATAATAAAGGAGCTTGTCTAACCAACAATGATGGTTTCTTGTATTAGAATTTGCAGTAAGATGTTCCCTGATAAAATTACCTTGGTCGTAAAAATGCGAGGCGTTTGGCTCCACTTCCCTGCGAATTGCACAAACATAATCACCACGCCGAATACATTGTCGATATTTGTCACCAGTCCCCATAAAATCTTCAAGGCTAATGATGTCTTGAAGTTGTCCGTATAACATCACATTGAAGTGATCTCACAACTTCTTTCTTTTACCAACAGTCTGCATGGCTTTCAAGGTCTGCATGCTACTGGTTTTCGTGGTAGCATTCAATACCGTTGCATTAAACCGATTGTCGCCAAGTATAACCTCAATTATGTTTACTAAATAGTTCTGCTAAGCTTCACTAGGACTTTTTTCTCCTAGTGTGCTGATTGGAACAGAGACATTTTCTTTATTATTATGCGTAAACATTCAATAATACACTATTGTTCTTGTTGGCTTGTTCATCAGCTTGAAAGCAAGCGCAAACACTTCCCTGCCATTTTCGCGGCTCCACTATTGTTTTCCTCTAGTGCCTCAATCGCGATTTTCCAGTTTTGGGCTCGCATTTTTTCACAATAGCCTGCAAGGTTAAGCAGCTTTGCCTCCTTGTGTTTGTTTTTCTGTCTCAAGGCCCGTAGTTGGGACGATGTTCAGAGTCTTTGTTGTTTACGTTTTAGGTAGTCTTTCTTTTCGAATGCTATGATGGGCACGCTCTTGCTATAAATGCATGAAGAACCCAGAATAAAGAAAGGAAACCATATGAAGGGCATCTAGTCTTACAAACATATTTGTTAGAGAGTCAACTATTCTCGCAAAATCACTTTATGTGGGTGAATTATTCTGTCGAATAATATAGCGCACTTGTGGCAATAGGACAAACTTTCTTGCATTCAGCGTGATGCTGAATACACAAATATAAATGTAAGCGACGTCTAAATGAACATTTGCGTAAACTCACGTTGTTGATTAAAATCGCCTGAGCACTTGACCCAGAAGACCCTTCCGTCAGAATGCAATGATTGCTTCTGCAGTTATGTTTTAGTATGTGTTCTATAGGTGAAGTCTCCACTTACCGGCCCCTTAGCACTGGTGATGACAGTCCAAACAGTCAATGACTAGCTTGGGAACGTCAACCTTACGCGTAATCATTTCGTAGGGAGGTGTCTGCTGAAGTCCGACAAATAACCCCAGTCGGCCGCTTATTCACAAGCATGGTGCTTTGAAGGTTTACTAGTCAGTGACGTATTAGGGCTGAGTTATAATCAATTGCGTCACAATAAGTACAGGTGGTCTAGTTGGTATGACGGCATACCGAAACTTTTGCACACACAACACAAACAACCAAACTAAAGGTTCACAAGAGCTAGCGTGAACCTTGTGAACCTTTCGTTTGGGTCTTCGTGCTGTGCGTGCAAAAGTTTCACTATGAATCTGTCATGATTGCACTAATTATGTATTACTCTATGATTGTTTTGCCAGAGTAGATTTTCAAGCTCAAGTGCGTTGTCACAGTCGCAATGTTTCTGAATTCACGCTTTTTTCACTTTAGTTTGTCTTCAACCGAGACCGCCAGAATTCTGTATGTTTTGCTTTCGTTCCCTTTGCTTTATCAGCTGTCTTTCCCGTTGACTGCTCAGAGGTGTGCTGCGGTTTGTGCTTTTTGTTATTCACAAAAGGAACTGAAATGTTCTGTGCACATGAATGGACAGTGATTACCTTATTGAGCATAAGTTGCTGATGATCACCTCTGTTTGCGATGAAGACGGCATGTGCGACACATTAGGCAAAAATAAACATGCACTGCTTGGAGCAGATGGACACCGTAAGTCCCTGTAAGTCTTTCTGCCAAATGTATCTGTTCCTGTGCATTGAATTTGCTTATTTCTTTAAACTTCGCAAACCAACCTCATTTTCGTGTTTCTAATATCCACGGCTATTTCAAAATAAACGCCACCACGCACTCTCGTGTGCCTTCTGACAGTGCATTGAAATCTAGTTGTTTGCAGTTACTGGCCGATGTTTCGTACCCTCATCTCCACACGAATATAGTATGGACTACAATTTTGCGTTGAGCACTAGTTAACCGCTCGATGTGATGTGCAAAAAGCACTAGAAATTGAATTAGAGGTACATCCCATTGAATATTGTACTTACATATCTCCAGCAATCTCTGTGGCCGAATAATACTTTCCCCGCTTGTACTTTAGGAATTGCTCGAAGGCTGCCAATCAGAGCTGCAAAATGGACAAGTATTTGGCTCAGATCTATCACTTTTTTTTTCGACATTTATCGATGATACACAAAATCAATAGCGTTGATTAGTTATGCGAGATGCACTTGGATAATAACGAAACAAGGGCGGCGCTTATTTACACCTCTGAAACTGGTGCTTCGCACAGATCACTTGTGTACGCATTCAAGCAATGTCAGTTCATTCGAATCGTCTGGAAGCTGCTCAACTGCTTTAATAGATACATTGAAAATGTATCAATGTATTACCTGCTTCGGATTACATTATAAAAAACCAGCTGTGTGAAAACGTGTGGTCTTTTATTTGAGATGTATTTTTTGTCAACTGCATGCACTATCTATCTATCTATCTATCTATCTATCTATCTATCTATCTATCTATCTATCTATCTATCTATCTATCTATCTATCTATCTATCTATCTATCTATCTATCTATCTATCTATCTATCTATCTATCTATCTATCTATCTATCTATCTATCTATCTATCTATTCAGCAACTTCTGGGTGCTCTTGTGATCGCCTACTTAACTCGAGATTGACCAAAAATAGAATGGGTGGGTAAAAAATTTATATGAACATCTGGCTCGTCGTGACATTATTTATGTGAAACTGCTTCGCGTACGCGCCAAATTGTTTTCTCCAAACACGTGTAGCACGTGCCCTTATTCCGCAAGCGCGGCTCCATCTGTAGCAGACGGCAAACGAGCGCCGCCCACACCGTCACCGATCCTGCACGGAACTAGTAGCCGCAACCAGCCAGCGGTGACGCCTAGCAAGACGACACGCGTGGCTTTATTCCCTTTACTAGGGGACTACTCTGTACATGTATTTGCGTATAAAATCGGCGCATATGTCTAGCGTAGTTTCGAAGTGTTTCGCTCAACTAAAGAATTACTAAACAGTCATCTTCCCTGCGCATGCTTCGCGTGACATTGCTTCGCAAGGAATGAAGGATCACCCGGCATGTTTAAATATAAGCGTATGAAGAAAAATTGATTTCGGTAGCGTTGAGCCCACGAATGCAAGAAATAAATATCAACATCTCAGCAGGAACGACGCCAAGCATTTCGCCTAGCAATCAGGGGTTCGACCACACGCAACGCCATGCCATGTCTCCACGCTGTTTTGGAAAAAGGTCCAATGCAGGCGTGATATGGATACAGCATCGAGTGTGCTTGCAGTGGTGACTATCTCATTTTACAAGCATTTCATATGCAACCTTGGAATATGGGCTTCACCTAGGAATAACATTAAATGTAGGTAAACATCATTCGCTGAAGTTGGCGTATGTAGAATTTTCCACGTCAACGCCGCTTAGAAACATAAGCGCTACATATGAACGCACTGCTTCTGGTGTAGGTGATGTCTTTGTTACAGTTGGCATCGTCGCACAACGGCAAAAAAACTCGTTATTTATGGGATATGAGGCTGTTAGCATTTGTCAGCGCCTGTGTCATTTTCTCACAATTCATAGGGTCATTTTGTACCGCTTCATTCAATACTGAGACCATAGTCATATATATGTGTATACACATGTATATATATTTATACATACACACACACACACACATATATATATATATATATATATATATATATATATATATATATATATATATATATATAGATCTAACAGACAGTAATGCAAGGAATACAGAACAGGGGAAGTTATTAGAACCAATGGAATGTCAATAAGAAGGAAGAAAAGTGGATGAAAAAATAACCAGCCGTGGGACCAGCCGTGCCCATGGCTGGTTATTTTTTCATCCACTTTTCTTTTTTCTTATTTACATTCCATTGGTTCTAATAACTTCCCCTGTACATTCCTTGGCATTACTGTCTGTTAGATCTCATTAGTATTGTGTTAGAACACGGAAAAAAAACGAGCCCTTAGGTATACACTTCTTCCCTTATATATATATATATATATATATATATATATATATATATATATAATATATATATATATATATATATATATATATATATATATATATATATATATATATATAATGTGTGTGTGTTAAGTATATTCCACAACTCGTCTCACGTGCACAATCAGCGGCAGCCTTTGAAATTAACCACACGGCCCATTTCAAAACTTCCGTGTAGAGAAGCGCTGAGCAAAACAGAACAACAATACGGGTGTTTTTCTCGTACTGTCCCCAATATGCGTGTATGGCCATGCACCACGAAAAATCATCCGTGGAGCATATAACTTCGAAAATGCTTGCAACTGCAGGAACGACAGTAACATTTGTTCTGTGGACGCCCCTGCTGGTTGTCAAGAGTATTTCACATTTAGCTTCTACTACACATTCCGATCTTCCAACTTTGGAGGACTTCGCAGACGCTTCATTGATGCGTTACCGAGCCTGTCACATCCCGGAATTCTAGCGACACTAGTGCTAATTTTAGGGCGTTATGTTTCGTATTAACTAAACGTGCAAGTTCGTGACTGGGTGAGCCGTTTTCTGCTGTGTCAACGTCCCTAAATATGTGCCATCCCGTCTCCCCAGCGAAGTGCCTCTTGCCTCTGAATGCGCATTCTAACATCGTGCACTTGGATCACGTTATCAAATCCGGCTGCGGTCACCGCATTAACTATGTAGTCGAAAATGCTTGAGTCTCACGCGCATAGATTTAGGTGTGTGCTAAACAACCCCAGATGGGCGAAATTTCTGGGGCCTTCTACTACGGCTTCTGTCATAATCATATGGTGGTTTTAGGGCGTTACACCAACAGGTACCATTAGCCAATGGTGTCATAACAATGGCATTTTGCACAAATCACTGTGGAGCCGTTTATAATAACTGTAGTTTCAGCCGGACTGATATCAAGAATTCACGAAGTGTACTGCACAAGTACCATGTTAAATTAGTGCTGCATGGGATTGTTTTGTAGTACTTCTTGCGAATTTTTCAAAGGCGCCTTAAGCATTTGGTACGCTATTTGTATACGTAAAGCGCGTTTGTAATAAATATGTAAGAGAGAGATAGAAAAGAGGCACTGCTCTGTGGTATAGCACCTGCTTGCCGTGCAAACGACTGGTTTAGATCGTCCGTCAGACCCGGAAGCTTATATTGCTTATTTTATTGGCATCATTCTCGTTTTTTTTTATCACAGATGAGATGATTTTTCGCACACAACCAACGCAATCCACACCAACACCGATGTGGGAATCACTGTCACGTCTATATATCTGATCACATTGGTCATGTGATATTTCTAGTAAGGCCAACACTACGCCGGTATACGATGTCACACTTCACTACAAGCTCGTCAGTTTCAAGAACTGATTGAAAAAAGTAGATTCTCACCTCATCAGGAAAAAGGTAAGGGCTATGAAGCATACGGTGAAGTTCATTTTCAACAGCTTTTTTTTCTGTAACTTCTTCAAAAAGGAAATGGTTTGGTCCACTGCGTGAAGAATAAAGACTTGCGTTAGTTGTTTTCGGTGAATGTAGTGCGGGAGGCCCTAGTACCAAATGTAGTATGCTCATCGAGTGTGAATTACATTGATGCTGATTTGTTATCAGTAAATCAAGAAAAGCATCTTTAAACAGTTCAACAGGACACATAGAAAATGATATACTTTAACAAAAAGACACCAGATCAAATACCGCCCTGCGAAACGTTTCACGTGAATTGTGTGGATGCATTTTTTGTGCATAAGTGGGGGTATCCACCAAGATGTGAAGTATGGCTAGAAATTTATATGATGAACATTTTGTTTCCGAAGACTAGTACAGCCGAGAAAGTAATTTGTTGGTCTCACATTCAAAAAAATACTACCACAAAACAAACGCTTCTAGATATTTGAAAAAAAATTCACTTTGTGAAAGTGAATTCACAAAATTGAATTCACTTTGTGAATTCACTTTTGTGGAAGCTTTAAATAGTGCTTTTTTATGCTCCAAACATGTATATCCCTCACCAGATGATGTTTTTTCGTACCCTGGACAACGCAATAAGAGCTAAGGCAGGAGAACGAATATGCCAAAAAAGAACAAAACATTTCTTGATTCTCAAAAGAAAAGTATTCGCTTTTGAAGTTCGCAACTCCTGTTGCACTGGCTCCATCACATCCCTTCATCATACATAAAAACTTCCATTGCTGGTGACTGTGTTTGTACGCATTACACATATACTCAGTGGCACTTTTAATGAACTCTTTCATAACCATCTATTTCACACGTTCATTACCGGCATAAAAACCTTCATAGTTTCTTTTAGGGCCCATGCTTTATGACGGATCCATTTCAACATATTTATCTTCATCATTCAGTATCGCCACCATCAGCGTGGTAATGTTGATAAGAACGTTTTGATTAAAGCCATCAGCATTTCAGCGTTTAAGGTATATAAACTCTACTAAAGCTCTGCTTCAACGCATTGATGATAGACGTCATCTTAGTCATCATCCTTGATCACCCAAAGCCGTATTTTAGACAAGTGGTTGTTTCACTCCGTGCGCTTCTGTCGCAGAACGTCACCTTACGAGCGTGAAATAGTGGCCAACAAGGGCTTTCATGGTGTCTGTAAGCGACTACTTCAGATATTTCTGACTAAACCCTTATAAAATGTTAATTTTGATATCGCAGCCATTATCAGCACTATTTAGCCACTGGTTTGGTTTGGAGTCAAACTCTTTAACGTTGATTGATAATTGATTGATATGTGAGGCTCACGTCCCAAAACCACTATATGATTATGAGAGACGCTGTAGTGGAGGGCTTCGGAAATTTAGATCAGCTGGAGTTCCATAACATGAACCCAAATCTGAGCACACGGGCCTACAACATTTCCGCCTCCATCGGAAATGCAGCTGCCGAAGCCGGGATTACAAACCGTGCCCTGCGGGTCAACAGCCGAGTACCTTAGCCACTAGACCACCGCTGCGGGGCAACTCTTTAACGTTACCAAGCTACATTGATGTTCGAAACTCTGTGGGGTCAAGCTAGACCTCTAGATCAGCCAACTTCAAACAGTTTAAACAACCGGTACCCGCAATGAAAAGTGGACGTACCGCTCAGCATACGTCGCCGCGCTGACGCTTCGGGAGTCGTTGACAAATGCGAAAACTCAAGGAGAAGATGAAGACAGAAAAATGTAGTGTGGACACGGCTTCTCTTCTGTTCATAGTTTTTCCTACATGATTTCTCCCAGCAATTCTTCATTTTGCTCTGTTAGCGACTTTCCTACCACATCCTACTCTACCATTCACTGCATAGTCTAAAACAGACACAGGAGTATGGTAAATGGCCTCACCACAATAGCTTCAACGTGCCGCAAAATAAAAAAATAGACTGTTCTCCACTCTCCACGTTTATTGCGGTGGGGAAAGAAATCTTGCATGGCTAAGTCCAAGTATGGCCACCTATTTTGCAGTCATGCCAAAAATAATATTTCTTGTTTTTTGTGTTTTAGATGAAACTCAGGGAATTATTTGTTTTACAAATGTCTGAATATATGTAGAAACATAAGATGCCTGTTATAAAGTTGCATTTTGCCTGGCGCTTTCTGGGACATGCAATGCACTTTTTATAGAATAATAGCCAGCTTTTAAACATCCATATTCAAAAGTTTATATTTATTTTCAGATACTAATCTTTATTCTCCGCAGCAGCATGTCATAAAAATTGGGCGATCATCAAGCTCCGCATTTCAGTGTTGAAAGTTACAAAAATATTTTCTCCCTAGTGCGTACTTTAGCTACCGTATGCACACTTTTTATTGTATTATGGTAATCGAAAAGTTTATACTGGGCATTACTACATTGTAATCAATAAAGCTAAAAGTGGGTAGCGTCAGTGAAGCTTTCGTATGTGGCTGCTATCTGTGTAATGGGTAGCATGCTTTGAACCATTGGCAATTTTACGCCTTAAGTCTTACCGAATTTAACATGCAGGCACTACGTGCCCTTAATAAAACGGGTGGACTAACGTGTGTGCTTTTGTAGTGAGTGGCCGGCTTCAACTCTGAAGTCACTATGGTAATTCCATGCTTTGACACCGGATGAATTGGTGCGCTAGTACCACGCATTATTAGAGCGATATTAGACGTTGTATTGTGAAGAATATACACATGACGCGTAGGTTTGTAAAGCATGAATGTTGCTTTCACTGCATTTCCAAGTAGAAGAAATTCTTTTCGCTATATTTTTAAGTATATACGTATATCGAATTTGTAATAAACGCCATGTAACAGAGAAAACAAAGCGGACGCGCAGCTGAGTTGTACAACATCTGCTTGTCACGGATACGACCCGACTTCGATCCTCACTCGCACGCGGAATGTTTTACCATTTCTTTTATTTTCATTTAGCGCTCTAGGAGCATCTTGTTGCGGTAAGATGAAGTCATTACTCAGCCAGCTTAGAGGCCTACATCGCTTCGTCGCTTATGAGGCAGGCGCTGCACCTCTCTAACTGCACTGTTTAAATTCATGAACGTGTGGTTGACGTAACTCACGACGCTGCCTTGCGATTTTGAACACAGTGATAGGCGAAGTTTTTCAGCCTAATTCACGTGCTCATTTGAAACGCTGATTTCCACAAAGTTATCCTGTCAAAGTCATGGGCTTTTTTCGAGGGGATAGAAGTATTACGGACGCGCGCCGCCCCTGTTCACGGATTCACGGATTTTAAACACTTTTAAATTCGCATTTATTGTTTATCGAGTGAAAATTCTACATACCTGGTTATTGAACCTAAGTGTGCGTACGCCTGAATTGACGCCGTTTTTCGAACATAAAGAATTGAGGAAGCCGGAATGAGCTGAGACAGGTGAACAGCCAGGCGTGGCTACGCAACGTAGCAACACTAGAAGTGAAGAAGACTATATAAATATCAAACTATACTCATCATATATTCTGTAACCATAGGGTGGAAAAACTCCCAAGTTCCGCAATTCGATTTCACCGCTTGGCAAAAGGCATAGTTCGTACATTTAATCAAAATAGTTTATTATTCTTCGTCGACATATCCACTTCTTCGAACAACAGCTCAGGTCTGCTGTTTCTGGCAACATACCGCATGCCCCAGTATTATTAACATTGACTGTGTATTAGGCTGGCGCTAAAGACTGAACAATCGAAAGCGTATGCTTTAAAGCAGTTGTCTCAAACTCACCTTTGCCTGTGTGCCACCGTCAGGAAACATCGCACATCTGAACGACCGGGAAGGTTAAGGAGGTCGATGCGAAGAGGAGGGAAGGTTGAAAAAATGCCTGCCAACTTTGCCATTAGCAGAACGTATTTGCGATATCTTCTATATGAGCCTTTTACTAAGGCTATTTGACGCCAGCTTCAAATAAACATATCAATAGTGATCTTCAGTACAACTTGAAGCTGAATGCCGACTTAGAAACATACAAAATTTGTTCCACAATTGTTCTTTAAAACCTTGTTGCCGCATGATGTTTCTCAAGGCGACATTCGTTAGACTAGTCGTTCTTGTGGGCCTTATCAATATACGTGATAATAATAGAAATTAAGGCAGCCTCGCACTAGTTGTGCCAAGCTTGAACGAAGTGCGGAGCTGGGAAACATTTTTTTTTGCTTCTCCTTGTTTTTTATTTCTTTCATTGTTTCTTCCAGGTTTATTGCTTCTCCTAGTTTTTATTTCTTTCGATATCTCTTTAACATTGTTCTGTCTGTTTTTTTTTCTTGATTTCCATAACTTATATTGTCCAATTTTTTAATTTTTTAACTATTTTTTCTTGATTCCTCTTTTTCTTCATTTTTACATGTGGTAACATTTAATGTGCACCTGACTTGATATATTCGTGGATACTCGAAAGTAGACACCTCTTTGGATCAAGCGCGCTCACATGGCTATGCGTTGCCTTGTTTCGCCTGCATTGCGCCAAACGACAACTGCAGCATACGACGCAGTGTAGTTCTGTAACCTGCTTCGCACATGAAATTATAGGACGAAGTCAGTTATGCGCCAAGGTGACAGATTGCTTCACATCCACGGTGCGCGTGTTCAAGACGTATGTTTTATGAAATGTTCTCAGTCATGCAGTTGTACTTCCGCCTGCATTATACATCAAGATCTGAACGCTTTTGACAAAGAGATGATGTTTTACGAACAGATGACGCTATCATCAAAATTCTTACATCTCATGACGTCTCTGTTGGTTACATTTTGTAACCGAGCGTGACTCATGATGTAAATTCTCATTTCGCGAGGTCAGCCAAAGAGTCTCGAGGTGTCGTGTGAGAAGCATCTTGGCGTTAGTATTCAGGTTGCCTAAAGTAGTGAATGGGGCTTGTTGGTACATGATTCTGACACACTACTGCGCAAAAACAGACTATGGACATAAGGAACAGAAACGACGATGACGAGCGCTGAACTCTCAACAACGTCTCATGGAAAATTTCTGTATATTCTTACTACCTGACACGCAGTTCATCCACCTCCTTCTTGTTATTACTAGGTCTTAGGCATAACACGTTTACACAACCCTATCCGAGATATGCAAAGCGATATGCTTCTATATTGACACGATTTATCCTTTGTCATTAATAATAAAAGAGGTGTTGTTTGTGTCGGGAGTGCCTTAACAGGCCATATAGTGACTGGCTAAAGAACCTTCAATGTCCTTCCTATCACGTGAGTTTCTTATATTGGCATGCTTCCTCAGCTGACTAGCTCCCAGTAAAGCCAACACACACATTTCCGCATTCTCAATAGACATCGCAAGCCATGCCTTCTACACAGTCAACAAAGGGTCGACTGCGTTTTGTGATTTTGACGTCATTCCACTGAAGTACCGTTTTCAAATTACGTGAAAGCTTGTGCACATAAGGCATCACAGCTACCTTCTGCCAGTGTGGTGTGCTGGCTTCCCAACACTACGGGTGATTGCGCATCTCCTTCGGGAGGGTTTTTCTGACTAGAATAAGAAGGCGCTTAGTGATGCACGACGCTTTCATCATTATCAGCCCTTTATTGATTGATTGATTGATTGATTGATTGATTGATATGTGGTTTCACACGTTCCAAAACAACCATATGATTGTGAGGGACGCTGTAGTAGAAGCCTCCACAAGTTTTGACCTCCTGAGGTTGTTTAACCTGCACTCAAATCTGAGCACACAAGCCTACAGCATTTTCGTATCCATTGAAAATGCGGGCGCTGCAGCCGGTCTTCGATCCCGCGACCTGTGGGTCAGCAGCCGAGTACCTTAGCCACTACACCACCAAGGCGGGGCATCGTTACTAGTCCTAACCAAAGGCTAAAGATTTGTCCCACCATAATTGACAAGTGCTGTCACGCATTCTTGATCGACATCTTCAAATGATTGCGACAAAGCCCGCCTTGCCAAATGACGAAGAAAAATTCACAAACAAGGTCTCATTATCGCTGTTTATTTTGACAGTCAGTGCTCTCATACGCCGTTACATCATGCGTCATTCATACTTTGTGTCTGGTGACTTGGCATCTACTGATGTCATCCTTGCTCAAGGCCAGGGTGCTCTCTGTCATTATCCTCTTGTGTGCATTTGTTTCTATTTTTCCCGCATAACGCGGTTGCAGCATGAATCGACTTTAATAGCGCAGTCAAATATTGCTTGCAACATTTTTGAAACACGCTGTCACCTCTGGTACTTTCTGTCAACAAAGGACATGGTATCAATATGTCTACACAAATGTACGGCCCATACAGACATTTTCACATTGGTACAATATAAATCGTCTATGTTGAAAGAAGAGACCGACCAAAAGATTTCGCGTCAACAGTCAAAGCTTGCGAGCCGTAAAGAGACATCTGTTTACATGAGTATTTTTGGCTTACGGAATTGTCTGTGCTGAGAAATGAGACCCATCAAATATTTTCACGTCAATACTTGAATCTTGCAAGCTGTAAAAAACTTTGTGATGATGTATATTTTTGTGAATTAATGAATTAGATTGATACCGAAGCACATTTTTATTTTAGATATTTTATATATTGGCATAAGATATGCTGTACACTTGCGAAAATTTGTTCAAAAGGGGTTGGAGCCACCAAGGGTACCTTCGTTTTAATTAAATTTAGTGGCATATTCGAGAGCATAGCATCATTTGCTATAGTGTGCCATTCGTTAAAGATTAACGCTATGTACACAAGCCGCATTGTGTCTTTAATGAGGCGGAAATCAGTGATGAACAATTTCGAAGAATTCAATGTTTAAACATTGCCGCAGCATTTTCGAATACGACGAACAGCGTGCGCACAGACGATTGACGCCTGCGAGCGTGTTTAGGTAGGCGTTTATTACGTCGTGGCCCGACGCGCCCGTCCTAACAAAAGGTTTGAACATCACCTAACGCCTAGCCATGTGTGGCTGAACATTGGAAAACGAGGCACTCGGCTTGAGGCGAGACGCACGATGATTGGATTTGTATGGTACTTCACCCAAAGAACACACCCATTGATTACTGTCAACAGCAGCCATCGATGCTGTTCAATAGACATTGATAGACCCGGCCAGGGCAAATCAGCAGTCCCCTTAATCTTTTTTAGTGTTAAAAAAGAGAAGCGTGTTAACAGGGGCAGAAAAAGAAGTCAAGGCACCACAAACGCCTTGCGAATACACCACGAATACCAACAAACTAGCTCAGCTGTCTCATATTCAAATACTCCATCACGTCTCCACTCAGGGCACTGACACTCGAAGCTCCGATTTCGAGAATTAGAGCAAGTGTTGATTAATAACAGCATACGAAATCTCATTATCTGAAAAGCCCAAACAGCAAAAAATTACTCTAGTGCGCAATCTAGATTGGAGCGTATATTATCTCCGAATGACGTGGGCATGCGACTGCAAGTCTCACAACTGTTAAGGCACTTTGAATAGTGAAACTCATATCGGTTACAAAAAAATTTTGAAGTGAATGTGCGGAATCCGCAGTAATTATATGACAGGAAATGAATTTAGACTCTGCCTAAATAATCTGGTATTTATTTTAAACCGTCAAAAAAAAACGATTGTGGAAGCTTGCAAATGTTTTACATACTTGGTTTTATTCGGCATAAAAAGCGGTATTCGGCAAGACACGTCTTAAGCTAACATTCGTAAAATAATACAAGCCTGTGAAGAATTTCTCGCACTTCTCACTTCTTCATTTATAGCCAGGGTCTTGTTCTAGCACACTCGATGTCTAAAGCAAGGGGTTCTTAAAGCCAAAGGTTTTGACTGGGCTAGAGGGGTGGGGGTGGAGTCCAGTGGGGCCAGGTTTCATCGCACTTAATTGAGCACAGCAGGGGTTCTAAATACCAACGTGTTTGACAACCACTAGCTCACATTGCACTTTGTGACATGAACGTACAAAAGACACACAAAGACAACGGCTGACTAAAAATAATTTTATTTTGAAAGAACATGCTGGTAGAGTTACTCAGAATCGGCCATTGACGAGTGTGCGCTGACGAAAACGTCCTTTGGACATGATGACACGTAATACTTTGCGCAAAACTAGAAAAAGCGCGCGTGGAAATTCTTTTCTTCAAGAATGATAACTATTTTTTGACAGTTGTATAGAAAGTTTGCTAATCACCTTTTTTTAATTTTATTTATTTATTTACAATGTTGTTAACTACAATGTTGACTTAGTTTTGTCACATGAAGTTTCAACAATAACAGTATGGTCACCAAACAGAGAAGTGCAACCATTCTATTAGAAAAAGAGAAGTTTAATATTGAGGGTATCCAATCTGAAGAAAAAAACATGATACATTAATCTCGTAACGCTATCTAAAGAGAGTTATTATTCTTTCAGGAAGCTAACTCCATCACACGTTTTTTTTTTTGAGCATTGAGAAAAAGGCAATGCAGATAACAAGTCGGGCCAAATGGTGCCTTCGGCGCATGCGCAATTGTAATTCTTTTTTTTCTCTAGTTTTACGTTCCTATATAAATTCGCGCATAAAGATGAGTGCTCGACTTTATGCCCTGCGCCATCACCTACTTTCCATGTCTCCGCTGCTGGCTTCTTGCTGGTCGTACGTAACAGGGGCGACAAAGACGAAATTCGACTGCAGCAAGAAAGCCAGCTTTACGTCCATACACGACCGCCTGCAGATTGAACCCACCAGGTAAAGCACAACCTACCGAAATTCAAATACGCAAAACTGCCAAGCCTACTTAGTAAAGATGGAGGCTTACTTTGAA